TTTCCCTTCGTAGCCCTAGTTCCACACCGTGTCCCACACTCACCCCCATAACTCCTCAACCCTGTGCTCCTTCACAATTCACACCCAAACAGCCCCTGCAGGCCCCAGAAGGACCCTCGCTCTCTCCCCATGGCGGATTTACACACATGGCTCCTTCCCCTTGGAACATGCCAGTTTCCCTCCCACATTCCCACGTTAAAAGAAATTCCTGCTTAGATTTACAAATCCGTTGTGTGGCACCACACACGTGGGTCCAGCTCCTGGTCCCAAATGATAGAGGAAGGAATGCAGGGGAGGCACCACAAGACTGAGTCACACAAAGGGGATAAGGAGAAGGGGCTAGTGCAGCAATTGACACAGCCATAAAATCAAGATCCTCAGGCACCAAAGCCAGGTGCCTGGTGCCCAGGTAAAGATAAGGACATGAAGATGGAGATGAAGCTCACTCTGGAATCTCTGATCCTCTCAGATTCTCTGCAAAGTCAGCAAACATAGGCTCACCAGGCGTAAGCCCCTCCTAGAGAGAAGCTGTCTATATCAGGGCAGTCTCTCCACCAGCATGGGGCAGCCGCTCCTCTGCCCACCTGTGCCCACCTGTGCTTCTTTCCACCCCCTCTCTCCCTCTGCAGGGCAGCAGCCTCCTGCCTGCCCGTGACCATGCCAGGACTTCTCTGCCTTGACCCCCTCATCGGAGGCCTCTCTCCTAAGGCCACCTGACTGCAGCCATGCGGGTCTCTCTCTGCAGACCTGTCCCTTCCGGAGCAGCTATTCCTGCCCACTTGCACCTATGCAAGTGTCTTTCCTCTCTTGTCTCTCTCTAATAAACTTCTTTAAATATAACTGTCTGTGAAGAATCTCGCGTGTGCCGCTGAAAGGGGAGCTCTGGTGAAGCCTTCCCCAGAGTGAACCCAAGGACCCCAAACTCAAAAAAAAAAAAAAAACCCACGACATCACCCACCACAGCCTTTGGGGGGGCTATCCCTGGGTGCACTCTCTGTGCCATATGCTAGTCTCTGGCTGCGCATGTCTCTGGGACCACCCTTCCTCCTCGCCTTTCTTTCTACCTTCCTCCCTCCCTCCCGCCTTGCCTTCCTCACAACTTCCAAAGGACTTATTGGTAAATATGTTTTATAAAGCAAAGATTGGCTCTAGGCTTTCTAATCACTGGAGTAAAGAACTGGGCCCAGGTCACAAGGGACAGTGCAGGGGATGGCTGCCTTATCCTCCTGTTCATTCAGTAATTGAAAGCACCAACTTTAGTCATCCTTCTTGAGTTTGGGACCACAGGCTGAGTTCTTTTCTGACTCATTGTCACCAGTGATGTTTCTGCAAACTGGGGCCCAGAAGTCCCCTTGAACAGGGCTAGTAGGTTCTGCTGGGTGGGTCTCCCAGGCATCACTGGCTCTCTTCACCACATCCAGGCCCTCCCAGACTGAGGCTGCATGCCCTGAGGCCATGCATTTCACCTGGCCAGGAAGAACCTGTTCCTCAGGTGCTCCTCAGAGCCAGGAGGAGCTTCTCTGCCACTAGCCTACAAGTCTCTGGATGCTGACTCAGGAGACCTCCCACCAGGCAGGTATTGCCTGCCCTCTGGCCTTTGGATTGCTGCAGGTGCTGGGCATGTTGGCTGAGGTCCCAGAAGCAGGCAGGGCCAACGCCAAAAGTCACTTCATTCTTATTCATCACTGTTATCATGATGCCCAGCATAAAACTGATATGTGGTAGTTGCTGAAAAAAATGCGTACTAATAATTTAAGGGTGCTGTGAGATCTTGGAAGGGTAAACGTTTAGAATATTAGAACAAATCTCACTGAAAGAGTCAGCGAGAGCCATGCTATTCCGCATCCTCCCTTGGGATCTGCGTTACCAGGAGGAGACAGGGCAGCTCACAGCTCCAATCCAGGAGCTGAGCATCCTCCCTGAAGGGCTGCTACAGAAATGCAGAAAGTCCTCTCCACAGCCCTCCTCCCCCAGCCCACCTCACCACACCCCCAGGCCATGTGTCCTGGCCTGCTGCCTTCTGGCCTCCACAGGTCAGCTGCTTCCAGCCCCTCCATCCTCCCAGATGCTGAGGCCTCTTCCCTTTCTCCGACCAAAGGAGGATCTGGGTACCCCTTCCCCCTCTGCTGCAACCAGACAGAGCGAAGACTCGAAGACTTGGCCCAGGGCCAGAGAGATAAGAAGAGCCAGTCACTCTCAATGTCCCATGAACTTGACACTCAGTTCCTGCTGCATTAAAAACAAATCACCTTGCACCCTGGAGATACTAGGAAATCACAATGTTTCAGAGCTCACAGTCTGACCTCCCTCCCCAGCTCCCCGGCCCACATATAGATGCAGAAACTGAGGCACAGGGACAAGTGAAGATTCCATCAAGCCCACACTGTGTGCCAGTGAGAGAGCTGAGGCTACAGACCCAGGCCCACTGCTTCCTGGCTTTCTTGTCCTTCAGTAGCTCCAAGCTGACTCAATTGTTGAAAATTCACAGCTGCACCCTGAGGACCTTCTATAGCCTCTGTTGGCTCATGGCCCATGAGGGAGCTCAGCACCTCAAGGCATTCTAGCGAGTTCTGTGTGAGAAAGGGCTTCCCTAAATTTACCTCACTGCCTTCTGGGCACTTGTCTGAGAAGTCACAGGACCTAGGGGGATTGAAGCAGAAGGAAAGAGGTAGGAAAGTTCCTTGGAATTCTGAGATGGGGAAAGCAGACAGGCAGTTCTCCTTCCTGCTAGGAAAGCTATGAACGGGAAGGGTGGGATCCTGGGGGTACACCCTAGACTGCATTGTCCAGACGCTGGGACCACAGATCGGGAGATGAGAGACTGGAAGGTAGGGTAGTCTAGGAGACACAGGTAAAAGTAAAAAAATAAAAAAAAAAAAAACACTTGTAACCCTACCCCCTCCCCAGCCCCCATAAAGTCCCCACTCTTTGGTGAAATGGCAAAGCAAAGAGAAATCTCTGGCACAACTATGTGTTCATAGTAAAAAGAGGAGAAAGTTTCGTGTGTGGCCTGATGGTCTGAGCCGGCACAAGCAGACAGAGGATGACAAACAACTTGCAGGACAGCTGAGTAGTCCAGAGCAAATGGCTCCCAAATCTCCCAGGAACATGGAAGCTCCAGGAGCAGATAACATACAAAGATTATCTGTGTTGTCTACTCACCCCTTCATCCCTTCAGCTGGCAAGTTTTTACTGAATATCAACAATGATGATGTGTATTAGGTAACGAGGACATAATTATAAACAGACCAGACTTGGTATCTGGGATGTTTCTCCCCAACAGTCCTCAAGGGCTGAGCTTCTTATCACGGCCTCATTCCCCATCCACAACACTCAGCTTCCAATGCCTCCCCACAAGCACACAACCTTCACAGTACACAACCTTCACACCGAGAGCCTAAGGGTCTGGTCAGGTCCCGAGTGAGCACGATTTCATCAACCACATCCAGTGATCAGTTCATTGTCTCAACCCAGCGATGGCCCAGTTCCTAACTGTTCTTAACCCCTGGAAGTGAATCAGGAGGCCTAAGGTCATTGCCTAACTCCGAATCAGGCTAAAATCTAAGCTAGGTCAATGTGAAGGACTAGTCCGGAGTAAGAGCAAGCTTCCAGAGTGAGGCTTGACTCGAGTGGTGGTCCCCATTGGCTATAGCGATGATACCCATTGACAGCACTCTGGAAACCCTTTTTCTAGCTTGATCCTCTCCACAACTTGTGAGTTAGGTATGAAGGTTTCTATTATCCACAATTAACAGAGGATGACAATGAGGCTCAGAGAAGTCAAGTGGTTCGTCGAAGGTCACAGAGCTGGCGAGTGGCAGTGCTAGGATTTGAGACCTGGTCTGTCTTGTCCCAGATACCCCCTCCTCCCCTCTGGGCCACAGTTCCTGGGGGACAGCCTCCAGACGCCACTGCACTGTGTCCAGCTGTCAGGAGCCCCCTGAGCTGAGCTGATTCATGAACTGATGGTTCACGCCTCCCGACATTCCCTGTCTGATGAATCTGCTGACTCTTCCGCTCACCCACCCCCGCCCACTGGCCAATGACCAAGAAGAGGGGGTGGAGGGGGGGGTGTACAGGGGAGACAGAGCAAAAGCTAACAGGATGGTCTCAGAGCATCCATCACCAGGCCCATTTCTCCTGGGTTCTGTCTGATCTGCCATGAATCGCATTCCCATCTACAAGTCAGCCTGCCTCACAGCCCATCGGTCACGCCCTGGGCGAGCTCCTGCCAGGGCCTGCCGGCACCCAAGCAAAGGGCCCAGAGTCACTGTGTCTGATGAGGTATAGCAGCGGTGACTGGAATGCCCACAAGAGAGACCCACATTGAGGAACTGGCCAAATCTGCCCCCTGCTCCGCCTATTCTTTGAGCACTTTGTCCCAACCCTAAATTCCTTAAGCTCTTTTGCCAAACCATACTGGTTCTTACTGGGTTTATGAGGTGTGACTTCTTGTCAGGCCCGGCTCCCTTCCCTGGCCTTCATCCTTTCTCGGTGTGAGTCAGGAGCTCATATGCCCTGGCCTCCTGACTTGGCCAGCGTGGCTGTCCATGTGTGGTCCCACACGTCCTGCAGGCCTCCTCACATCCTGTTGGCCCCAGAGCACCTGGGATGAGGAAGAAAGGAAAGAGGGACCTGGCCCCACAGGCGAGTTTGCTGCGGGGTGGAATCTGGAGAGAAGGTAAGTGTTCCCATCGCAGACTGCTAGACTGAGGGGCGTGGGGGAGGGGTGGGGTGAGAGCACTGTGTTTGCTTCTGATCTAGCCCCATGGTAATGTTCCCGGGAGCCTGAGTCAGTGGTAGCAGATAGGGATCAGACACTGCCAGCTCCTGAGGGTTTCTAGGCTGCAGAGACAAAAGCTCAGTAAACAAATAATTAGGATCAAGGTGATAATTGTTCTAAGGGGCAGGGGTGGAGGGGAGGGGTAAAGGCAGAGAGGCCCCAGGAAGAAGCAAACCCAGGCTGCTTGTTGGAAAGGGCTCAGACCCTGCACTCACAGCTGAATTCGATGACATCTTGACACTGGCCACTGGCTTCTCCGAGTCCAGCGTGGACATGGAGTCAGGGGACGCTCTGCTCATCTCACAGGCTGAACAGGAAAGGGTGAAACTTGTGAGGGTAGGTGGAAGCTCAGCAGCTTCATGGAGGAGGCAGTAATTAAAAGGAGAGAAACTGCCCAACTGCTCAGGCACCCTGAGCTTCTCCAACCCCTCAGGAGAAGCAGCCCCTGACCCCTCAGGAGAAGCAGCCCCCGACCCCTCAGGAGAAGCAGCCCCCGACCCTCGACCCTCTGGAGAAGCAGCCCCCCTCAGGAGAATCCTTCCAGGCAGCGCCTCTGAGAAGCGACCCTCTCCCCACTTTCTGTGCTCCATTGTCCTCCTCTGTGCCTTGAGTTGAGAAGGTGATCGAGAGCTGGGCCTACCTCATTCACCATGGCGTCGGCGCCCACAGTGTCCGCTGACGGTGGCCAGCCCAGACTGCGTGGCTGGTGGACAGCTCTGCAGAACTAAAAACAGGACAAAAGTGAAGAAACAGAAGGGAACTAACATTTGTAGTCTCCACTGTGTGTCGGGCGCTAGGCAGGTTACTTGGTTCTCCCAAATGCTGCTCTGTGCATAGTCCTTCCATTGTACAGTGAGCACACAGAGGCTCCTAGGAGCCTGTCACTCACAGCAGTAGCCACAGATTCCACATCCTATTTGGATCTGTGGGTCCTTTCCACCATCCGGGCTACTTTCATTGGCTTATGGGTATTCAGTGGTCCCAACCCCACCCCAATCCTCTACCCCAACACCAGCTGTGCAAACAAACAGCCAGCTGGAGACTCCCAGGAGGGCTGGAGGAGGACCCGGAGGGCCTGGCGGGGCAGGGTGGGCTGCCCTTTCCTGAGAACAGCTCCATGGCGGTGGCCTAGAATGCATCCTTCGGAAGGCTCAGGAAAGGGGCTGAAGTCCAGCCAGCCGACCCCACATGTGGCCATCCCAGCTGGTCTGCTGACTCTCAGTTATTTCACCACTCCACGTGCATCTGGGTCCCCATCAGCTCTGTGCTGACGACTCAGCACAAACCCCCAGGTCTACGGGCAAGTCCGGGTGTGTGTGACAGCCGAGGTCTTGCACTCCCTGCTGCACTGTGTGCCTCTGGAGACCCGAGCTGCTTTTCTGCTGACTGTGCCCTCCCCTGTCTTCTCTGGGCTCCAGACACTTATCTTGCAAAGCCCCAGCTTCATCCCCCTCTCTTCCCTCCAGGGCTCAGGCAAAGCCAGATGTTACCTAGGTGCTGATCACCAGTTCTGCATAAACGCCTAGCCAGGGAGGGTGCTAGAGAAAAGACCTGCCCTGCCACATTGAGAACCTCCCAGCCTGGCCTCCAGGCTGGGTTTCCTTAGGAGTGTGGCTGGTCTCTGAAGGACCAGCTAATCTACTGCTAGGAGGCAGCACGCACAGGGAGTGTTCACACCGACACACATGCGGCTGTTGCACATATGTCCGTCTGGTAGTAGAGGCGAGCGCGCTCCCTATCCACACTTGGCTTTCAGGCAAGCTGCACCAGGCTGCACATACCATCCAGGGTATGTGCCGGGCAGACACCAGCATTAAGGGAAGTAGACCCTTGTTAGGGAGCCGCTGCTGTCCCTCACCTGCTGTCTCAGGCTCCCCGCTTTCAGATCAGGCCCTTGGTGTCAAGGAAACAGTGCCTGCATGAGGGAACTTCCCTGTTCAAGGAAACACACCCCTTTCTTCCAATTGGCACAGATGTCATCAATGCTTAACCAACATTTAATGGTCACCTACTATGTGCTAGATTCCTGGGTGGGGGGTGGAGGCAGAGGAACCTATGAGGTTGGGGGTAAGAAAATACTGGCCTTTCACTCCATTAGTCATGTCTCACTAGGTTAACAAACACTGTTTGCTCACCAACTGTGCTCGCCAGTGATGTGACGTTTTAACTCTGGCCATAACTTCTGGCCATCAGTTCTATAGTAGGACCCCTGGGGTTCTTGTCTGGGGTTCAAAGCCCCTATAAACTGGCATGACTTTGCTCCCTAACTTCATCTTTCTCTTCCCTAACTTCTCTTCTCTTCAATGACACCAAACAGTTATTACCTCGCAACAATTCTCTTTGTAGATCTTTGTTCAGACTTAATACGTTCAATCCCTGTTTCTGTGAGCTCTGGAGTTCCAGGAGGTATAGCCTAGCCCAGAGTACTGCTGCTGAGGTAATCTTAAGGCCCATGTGATATAAGAGAGATCCTCTCCCTTGAACTCAGAGCTATGGCACCAGATCCCAAGCCTGCCATTTAGATGGTGTGACCTTAAACAAGGTACTGACCTCACCGAACACAAGTGTTCTTATCTGAAAAGTCTGTGTCATAATCCTGCCATGGATGATATTAAACAACAGACTAGAGAGATAGGGTATTCTCTCCTACTTTTGTGTTTTCAAATCACTCATAAATTACATTAAGAGATAGACTTTCTCAGTTTTTAATTTTCCTCCTTATGCTATTCCTTATTAGATCTTAACCACATTGAAATCCAATTTAAGAAGACATAAACCAGTTGCGATATTTGGTCATTTTGTATCCCATCTCAACATGTGGCAAGCATCTTGAAAATAACAGGAGTAACCCAGAACCTCTTAGAAAATTCTGCTCAATATTGTCCCTCAACCCTCTCCATCCCTCTAGGCCATGCCTGACAGTTGAATTACAACTCTGGTGTCACCATCTATGTATTGTGTGCCCCTGGGGAACAGATGCTGGGTCTGATTTATTGCACAGAGGCAAAGGAAGCATACAATAGGTCTTTGAACGGCCATGATCCATTCCAGCCATTCATCCTTCCAGCCACCCAATCACCACTCATCCAGCGTGAGTGAAGGGCTCTGTCATGTATTGGCAATTCCCCCTTCAAAGGTGGCGCCTCTACCTCCTTTGTCCTCTTTTGCTTGTTCTCGTGTTCCTTCTTCTCCTGGGATCCTGCCAACCCAGTCTGTCACTCTCTGGGGCCCTCTGGCTTTCCAAATTTAGCTTCTACAGAAGCCTCTTCTACATCAGCTAAGCAGGGACACACATCTCCACACAGGTGCAAGTTGAGACCCGCACCTGAGAGGAACAATGTCCTAGGCCCGCAGCTGGAGGCCTTTAAGGACATCTGGATGGGCCGTCAGCCTCCCAAGCCCCAGGGTGCCAAAACAGAGCCTAGGCAGGTCAGGAAGATGGATTTTCAAGTGCACATCGGGTAAGGGAAAGGGAAGGATAGGAAAAGACAGCACCTCAATCCAGAAAACCCTTCTTATCTAAGTGGGGGTTTCTTCTTATCCAAGTCCCTTGAAGTGAGGGAGCTCTCAGAGACCGACAGCTGGAGGGGAGCCTTCCTTCCATCTCCAAGTCCCGTCATTCCTCAGCCGGAGCGGCTGGGCCAATAAATCCTAGAGTAATTCTAGGATCTCTGAAGCTCACCAGTCACTCATTCACTCAGCTAGGGCTTCTGAGCCTAGAAGAGCTCAGTTCTGTGCTAAAGGCTAAGGAGGCTGAGATGAATCAGATCCACATGCTTATTTTGCAACCACAAACACTCTGAAATTGCTCCCCGCCCAAGAAGAGATGCAGACATGGAAACAGAGACAGCACACTGGAGCGCTTACAATCACAGGTCTGGTCTGGCATTCGCTGCCTGTATGTGACGCCCCAACATGCTCTGCAATGTTCCAGCAAGCAGCAGGGTCTCAATCCCCTGTGCATGTGCCTCCCAAGCTGGGGGGATCCACCCCTCTTGCCACCCATCCCCAGCAGCCTGTTACAGCCTGGATCCTCTGGCAGAGAGCTGGCACCCTGGGGGCTGGAACCTGCCCCTGGGCTCCTCCCTCTGGCCCAAATTGCCCCTGGGCCACACACCTCTCTGACCACACCAGTCTCGGGACAGCCCCGAGGAGGACTGGAGGCGATGTCAGGGTCCCACAAGGCTCAGTTCCCAAAGGTTGTTTGGCTGCAGAAAGGCCACCCTAACAGCAGGGGGCTGGAGCCTAGAAACACACCAGGTGAGAGCTGATCCACCACACCCAGGCAAGGGTCACTGGAAGGACCGGTCATGGGCAGGTCTTACTGTGTGTCTGGGAGAGGAGAAGCTAACTTAGCGAGCCAGCCTGAGGGGGTGCCTGGCCAAAGAGGGAGACTTCATTTGTTCTCTGGGGCTAACAGGGGAGAAAGACCAGTGAAATGAGAAAGCAGAAAGCAGAAGCAACTTTTGAACTGGGGTCCTCCATTATGCCCCTTCTGCCAAAAGTACTCCCCTCTCTCAGTTCCTATTCCTAAAGCATTGGTTCTCTGGCTGCTACAGTCCTTATCTCAGCAGCTAGAGGGCAAGGGCGGGGGGGGGGGGCTTGGACCCATCTCCTCTGACCCACACATGATGCCCTGAATGAGACATGGCAACTAGTGTGCTGATCAGAACCAGTGAGAAAGCTGTGTGGCTAAGGAAAGGCAGTCAGCCGGCGTTAGGGTCAGGACACTAGCTTATAGCCCTTGACTAGCTCACACCTTTCTTGATTCTGATTAAGGGTGACATGAGGGCTCTTTCTTTCTTCCATGGGATTCAGCCTCTCTTCCAAGAGAACCCCATGAGACAATTCTGAGACCCACTGTCATAACATGCCCCGTGATGAGGCCCCTCCACATTTATTTCAGAGAACATACACCTCCCCTCAGGGACACCTGAGAAGACCACCACCTCCTTTCTCCGAGGGCACCTCCTTCCTCCACCCTTCCAGACTATTTCTCAGCCCTGGGAGCCAAAGGAAGAATGTGCCTAACTAAGAGCTTGGCCACATTAAGCCAAGTCACCTTTGCTATTTAAAACTTCTCTTTGCAGAAGCCTGTCTATTGAGGCTGGGAGGAAAAGAAAATCCCTCCCCATTTAGGAGGCCACTTTGTGGTGACTTTAAATTCCCCGGGATTAAGAGACCTCCAGCACCAGCTTCCCACTGCCCTTTTCTCTAATTCTCTCCCGAGGCTATTTGGTCAGAGGAATTCAGTCTACCCCCATGGTGGCCCGGCAGGATAAACAGCCTCTCTGGGGTCACTTTGCTGCTGTTCTGCTTCCCCCCAAGAATCCACATTGACATCGCTGGACCCGAGGCACCCGAGTTCCGTAGAGCTGAAGGCCTGGGTCATCCAGGAACCAGAGAGGATGATGCAGACCAAGACCAGGGATGATTTGGGATGGAAGGTGGACTTTAGTGCTCAGATTTGAAGTCCTGGCATATTCAATCCAGAAGACACCTTTGGGGCATCATACCCTCCCTGCAATGGAATACAGAAGCTCGGAGAGGGCATATGACTTATCCAAAGTCATACCAAGTGTTTCTGCTGGGATTAGTTCTCAGACCCAG